AAAAACAAATAAACAAAAAAAACAAAAAAAAATAAATAAACAAACAAATAAACAAATAAACAAACAAACAAATAAATAAATAAATAAATAAATAAATAAATAAATAAATAAATACCTCTGGTTCTAGTTTCTGTCCGCAATGGCAGAGAAAGTGAGCACGGCATATCATCCGATCGCCAAAAAAAAACAGAAAAAAACCAAAAAACCAAATAAATAAATAAAACAAAAAAAAATAAATAAACAAACAAATAAAATAAATAAATAAATAAATAAATAAATACCTCTGGTTCTAGTTTCTGTCCGCAATGGCAGAGAAAGTGCGCATCATGGGGGTCTAGCTGCAGCAGCTGAGCATCGAGAACGTCAAACTGAGAGAGACAAAGGGGACAGAAGAATACGTCTCTTGCTGCTGCTTTTTGTTTTTCTTTTTTTATTTTTTTATCCATTTCCTCTATTCTATATGCAACAACACAAATACAATAAGGAGATATACGATATACAAAAGAAACGCCGCTCCCGTATGTAGCCAACATGCTGCTGCTGCTGCTGCTGCTGCTGCTGCTGCTGCTGTTGCTGCTGTTGCTGCTGCCTGTTCCCATACGAACGTAGTCCCCGCCACCGTCCACGCTGCAGCACAAAAAAAAAAATAAAATATTTATTTATTTATTTATTTATTTATTTATTTATTTATTTATTTATTTATTTATTTAGTTTTAATACAGATATATATATCAATACAAATATTCATACAATAAAGGGAGATAAAACAAAAAAAGAAAAAAAATAAAAAATAAAAAGAAAAAGAGAAACTGCTGCAGCAGAAGATGCAGCAGCAGGACACCAGCAACAGCAGCAACGGCAACAACAAGAGCAGCAGCAGCAGCAGCAGCAGCAGCAGCAGCAGCAAACAGTACGCAGAGAGAGGCAGCAAGGAATACCTCTCAGGCGAGCTGCAGCAACAAAACTGAAGACAACGCCAAACAGAGAGAGATAGAGACAGAGACAGAGAGAGAGACAGAGAGAGACAGAGAGAGAGAGAGAGAGAGACAGAGAGAAAGAGAGAGAGAGATAGAGACAGAGAGAGAGAGAGAGACAGAGATAGAGACAGACAGAGACAGAGAGAAAGAGAGAGAGAGATAGAGACAGAGAGAGAGAGAGAGATAGAGAGAGAGAGACAGAGAGATAGAGAGAGAGGAAGAGAGAGAGACAAAGATAGACACAAACACATATATATATATATATATATATATATATATATATATAAGGAGAGAGACAAAGAGAAAGAGACAGAGAGACAAAGAGACAGAAAGAGAGATATATAGAGAAAAATAAAAAAAGAAAGAGACAAAGACACATACAAGGAGACAGAAAGAGAAAGAGAACAAAAAAAAATAAAAATTAAATAAACAAACAAATAAACAAATAAATAAACCAGCAACATAAGAGAGATACTAAAGAGAAGCAACAGCAGCAACAGCAGCAGCAGCAGCAGCAGCAGCAACAGCAGCAAACAGCAGCAGCAGCAGCAGAAGCAGCAGCATCATCAGCACCAGCAGCAACAGCAGTACCAGCAGCACAATCATCAGCAGCAGCACCAGCAGCAGCAGCAGCACAATCATCATCAGCAGCAACAGCAGCAGCAGCAGCACCGGCAGCAGCAGCAGCAATAGCATTAACAGCAGCAGCAGCAGCAGCAGCAGCAACAGCAGCAGCATCATCATCATGAGCAGCAAAAGAAACGAACCTGGAAGCATTATCTCCAACAGCACTTGCACTAGAATGATTAACGAAAGGATGCTGCTGGTTGCTGCTGCTGCTATTACTACTACTACTACAACTGCTGCTGCTGCTGCTGCTGCTGCTGCTGCTGCTGCTGCTGCTGCTGCTGCTGTTTAGGCTCGCATGCACTGGCTCTTTTTGTATTAACATAAGACGCTCAAGCGAGCCACAAACCTGACGCGTTCTCTTCTCCCCCCAATACAGCCTCTCTGCTATTTCTTTTTCTGTGTATGCTTTTTCTTCTGCTGCTAGAAAATCTAATAAAACTATTTGTTCATCATCACAAAACAAACGAGATGCTGTAGACAAAAATAATATAAATAAATCACGATCGTATGCTTTTGTTGCTGCTGCTGCTCCTGCTGCTGTTGCTGCTGTTGCTGTTGCTGTTGCTGCTGAGGAGGAGGAGGGGGTGGGGCCTGCTGCTGCTGCTGGTGCTGGTGGTGCTGCTGCTGCTGCTGCAGCAGAAGAGGATGAGGGAATGCAGCTCTCTGCTGCAGCAGCATCGGGGCGGGAGAGGAGGCGTGCACGAGCGGCCATTTATTATCTCATAGAAACTCAGAAACCGAGAGAGAAATACAAAAAAAAAAATAAAAAAAATAAAAAAATAAATAAAAATAATATTATAAATAAATAGACAATTAATTTTTATTATTATGTTCTTTATTACAGCAAGAGGCAAGCAGTTTAATGTTGCTGTTTCTTTTGCTGCTGCTGCTGCTGCTGCTGCTGCTGCTGCTGCTGCTCCTGCTGCTGCTGCTGCTGCATCTCCCCTACACCCTTTATTTACTCTTATAAACCCAAAATACAAACAACCAGCCTCCTCCTCTCCCCCCAGCAGCAACATTTCCATAAAAAAAGGAGAAACAGCAGCAGCAGCAGCAGCCCCCCTGCTGCTGCTGCTGCGGTGACGCTTGGCCGCATGCAGCCCCGCGGTGAGCTGCCTATACACCTGAAAAAAAAAAAGCAAAATATGTTTTTATATTTAAATTATTTTATTTTTATTTATTTTTTTATTTATTTTCTATTTATTCTACTTTTTATTTTTATATTAACAATAGATACACCGCAACGACGAAAGAACGAGATCAACAGACACCGCATTCGGCATGCAAACAAAATAAAATAAAATAAAATAAAATAAAATAAATAAAATAAATAAAATAAAATATAATATAAAATTAAATTAAATAAAACTAAGCAAAATAAAACGAGAAATGAAAAAAAAAA